TGCGACGCGCGACGGCGACGCCAGCGATGCCTCCGCCTGCATGGGGAGGGGCGCAGCACCGCCACTCCAAGACAGGTCAGGGCCAGAGGGTGTGGCAGGCGGAAACGTGTTGGCCATGTGAGGGGAAACGTGATTAGGTGGACACAGCAGCGGTGTATGAAGCAATGGGAGAGGAGAGCGCATGTGCAGGAAGAGGTGGTGCACGCATGTGCGTGGGGCAAGGGGCATGAGGGCGAGCGAGGTGGGTGGGGGGCATGCAGCGACCTCGACTTTGAGGCGGCCGATGGCGTCCCCAAAGACAACAATGTTGTTCACTCGTGTGTTGCGCGGCTGCAGTGATATCTGCTGGTACACCTTGAACGCATCCACTCCCACGAACGCCCTCTGTGCTCCGCACACATGCCATCCCAGCATTGCCACACACATACCATGCATTACCACACACACACCATGCGTTGCCACACACACACCATGCGTTGCCACACACACACCATGCGTTGCCACACACACACCATGCGTTGCCACACACACACCATGCGTTGCCACACACACACCATGCGTTGCCACACACACACCATGCGTTGCCACACACACACCATGCGTTGCCACACACACACCATGCGTTGCCACACACACACCATGCGTTGCCACACACACACCATGCGTTGCCACACACACACTATGCGTTGCCACACACACACCATGCGTTGCCACACACACACCATGCGTTGCCACACACCATGCATTGCCACACACCATGCATTGCCGCCGCAGACACACAGGGCACATGAGCGACCTCTACCCGTGACAGAGAGAATGACAGTGGTCGGTGAGGGAAGGCAGGGGCGGCAGGGGACGAGGCGCAGAGAAGGCATGCGAGGCATGAGGTGGTACACGGTGGAGCTCACACCGGTGAGTGCCATGAAGCAGGCGCCGGGTCCGTGATTCACCACGGTGCACAGCAGATGCGGCCCAGCGCGGGCAGGGCAGGGCAGGGCACCTGGATGGGCGAGGCGGTGCCGGGGCGCGTGGTGTAGAGCAGCTCCCACGTGCCCTCCAGCAGGGGCGAGCGCGCCTGCCGTGACACACGGGGAGGCGAAGGACACGGAGAGCAGAGGACATGGAGGGATGATGGCGTGGCACCATGAATACTGACACATGGCTCACCAACACACACACGTGCGCTAAGGGATGCATGTGCCCTCGCTCCCACTGCCCTCTCCATGCCTCGCCCCTTATGCCTCCCCCCCCTTACCACGCTCAGCACAAAGCCCTCACTTCCTCCACACTCCCTGCCCTGCTTCGCGCAATCCCTCTCGGTCTGCCCTGGCCTGCATGTGCCCCTGGCCTGCATGTGCCCCCCACCCACAGCACAGGCACTCACCGGCTCCCGCACGCCCTGACTCGCCTCCAACCGCTCCACCGCCCTCAGAATCGCCTGCACGCCATCGCAGCACGCATGGCGCACACCCGTGCACACATGCACACCCACCCCACACCACACCCACCCCCACATCGCACCCATGCACACCCACACACACCCACACACACAGGCACATACACAGATGCACACACGCACGCACACAATCGCACGTGAACCGGGGGAGGGGAGTGCAGGAGATGGGGAGGGTGAAGGGCATGGCAGCAGCGATTGGCAGCTGTCAGCATCGTCACCACCGTGCGTGCACGTGCACGTGCACTGCTCATCGGCCGTTGCGTGCATTGTTGAAAGGCACGAGGCACGGCGGGATGAGCTGCCTGGCCTCGCGACTTCAGCAGCTTGGCGGCACGCAGGGCAGGGGGGAACACGCAGCAGCGCCGTGGCACGACGGTGCGAGCGGAGGCGGGTTGAGAGGGAGGAGGGGCGCGCTGGTAGCGCACCGGGCGCACCGTGCTCATCGCCCACGGCCCCCTCTGTGTCCCCGCGCTCACCTGCCGCTGCTCGTCCGTCACCTCTCTCCCCCGCCCCTTCACCGCCCGCACTGCCGCCACCAACGCCGCCTCGTCCGCCGTCTCCGCCGCGCCCCCTGTGGCCACTGGTGACGGCAGCCGTTGCAACGCCGCCGCCAGCGGCTGGAAGACACCTGAAGGGGACGAGGGGGGGCGAAGAGGGGCGCGGCAAAGGCTGGTTGAGGCGCGGGAGGCGGGGTGCGGGCGAGTACGCGGAGAAGGAGAGAGGTGTCCGGGCGGATGGCGGCGGAAGAGGCAGTGAGCGGGAGCGGACGGAGCCACAGCGAATGGCAAAGGCGCGCCCTAACGGCGCGGAGGGCACACCTTGAGGGGGACGGAGCGACGCGCGGACTGCCGCGCTGCGCCGTACGGACGCAGCGGGTGGAGACGCGGGCGCAGTGGGTAGGCGGGTGCCGCGCAAGGAATGGGTGGTACGATCGGCGCATGACAACGGGGGAGGGGCGACGAGAGAAGCGCGGTAGGTTGCACGTGGAAGGACGGCCGCGGGGACGGATGTCGGGAGACACGAGGAAATGAGTGGCGCAGCCATGTGGGTGACACAACGCGCTCTGCACGTGCACGTGTGGGTGCCTGATGTGATCTGAGCGATGTGAGGGCTGGGTGGGGTAGTGCTGACTTATTTTGGTGGACAACCGGGATGATCCGAGAGTGTGAGTGTTGGCATAATGTGGATGTTCTTTACGACTTGCGTTTTGTCCATCTATGCATTTGGACTATACACTGCACCGCCCCTACCCAAAAAAACCTAAAACCCAGGCCCTTTCCCGTGTTTAGGGTTGACCCCTCCCGAAAATGCGTCCAGGTTCTCTATGGGTTTTATTGTTTTCTTCCCTGCCCCAACAATTCTCGGTAGCGTCGTCTAGTGCGCTCGGTAGCGTCGTTTAGCGGTGCCGAGCGCTACCGACTCTACCGAGTTGAATATATTATTTGATATATCTCAACGCACATACGAGTCCGCCCATGGAACTCGCTTCCCTGGGCAAAAAAAAATAAACCCTCTAGGGAAAGGCGTGTCATCCGAGGGAGGCATTAACCCTAAACACCTTGTCGCATGGTGTTTAGGGTTGATGCCTCCCTAGGATGGCATGCCTTCGATAGGGTTTTAGTTCTCTTTGCCCGCCGGTCAGGTCGACGGTGGTCGACGGTCCGTCCACCCACCGTCGACCCCCATTCTGTTGAGATATTCCTCACTCAGCACCTCAGCAACGCGTACAAGACCAACCGTTTCTTCGCCCGTTACTGCTAACGGTGCTTACCCACCTTCGCGCGTCTCTTCGCACTGCTGGAATTGGCCGAGTCGGCCTACGCTTCGGGAGTAGCCCGAACCTCGCTGTTAGCATCACACTATGTAGCTCGCACGCAACGCGTTACAGTTTGCTACTTTCGCTATAAATGTTCGCTCACATTCGTACTCGTTTTGACTCCCTAATGCAATCTTCACTCAGTCGATCAATCGCACACGTAACACTTCGTATCAGAGCTACTTTCCTTTCAGGCCGCGCAATTCTTTGCAACCAACACTCCCCAATTCTTGATTTGTCACTCGAAGGGACATACGCCTCTCGGCGTATTAGAAGTCGCTGTCACAAGGAAGGCGTGCGTAATAAGGTGGCTAGCAATGCAAGCAGAGAAGAAGCTAGCGTCAAGCCAGCGCAAGTGGGTAGTGCAGTCAGCGACAGTGGAGAAGGTAGGGAGATCAAGGAAGAGGAAGGCCATGAGGAGGCATCCCAGAGTAGCAGAGGAGGAGGTGGAGTAGCAATCAACAATAGCATCCACACAATCATGCGCCGTCAAGACCTGGCGAAAGTGCACTCGCTTGGCCGGCAGCAGGAGGCGACTGAGAGCAAGGCACGCAATAGCGTCACGCAACACCCAAAGCGAGTACGCAAGCTGGGCTGTGGCCTCCGCAGCAAGCGCAAGAGGACAATGGGGAGCAGTTAGCTCACCCGACACGTGGGTGTACATGTAGATGTCGTACTGGCTCTGCAGGTGGAGCTGGACGTCGATCAGCTAGGCATCAAAGTCGATCACCCGCCCCTCCGCATCAAGTCGCAGTACGAACTCGGACGCTATGACTCGAGTGAGGAGGGGCACAAATACAGGCGGAGGAGGGAACAGTCTGAGACACGCAGGCAGATCCAAAACTTTAACTTCAAATCGCTGGTGCTGACGTAGCTGCGGGCAGTAATGGCATAATCGGCGGCAATGGTAGGTGCAGTTGCGGGCGCGCGGCAGGCGCGGCGGAAGGCGCAGGGGCAGGGCGTGCGGGCACACGGCATGTGGAAGCAGCAGGGCGCGGATAGTAGTGCGGCAGGTAGGGGCAGACGCGAAGCAGGGAGCGTGGGCGTATGTCCGGACGCGCGGCCGCCTAGCAGAGCACGGAAGGGCACGCGGCAGCAGAGCGTGGAAGGGCATGCGGCAGCAGGGCGTGCGACAGCAGGGCGCGCAGCAGCAGGGCACACTTCATAAGGACGCGCGGGCGCAAGGAATCAGGCGCGCGGCAGCAGGGCGCACGGACGGGGCACTAGGGCACACTCCCCTTCGTTTTTTTAAGTCTGATATTGTTGTCATTATTGGTGACGTGGCTGAAGCCTGAAGTCGGCACCATGAAGTACTGGAACTTTAAGGGAGACAACATATTTTGTTTTTGCTTTTTGTTTTCCGGTTCAAAAATCTATTGCCTGCCAGCTTATTGGTTGGGCAATACTTCAGTTGTAAGTTGTATCTTACCCATCTTGATCTTGCACTTGACGAATAAATATTGCTGCAAGATGTGTTTTTGTCCTGTCGGTGAACCTGTCTTGTTGGTTGTTGGCTGGCTGTCACAGAATAGTTAGAACAATATCACATTTGCGAGTTTGGCTTCGCATATAATTTCCCAAAGGTGAAGGCTTTTCCTCGTAGCGATGCAGGCATCAATGAATTCAGCTTCAGCAGATGAATGCGCAATAAGTTGCTCCTTGCCTAACTGTCAGGAAGTGGGTACTGAAATCCCCTGTATATAGAGCCTGCCGACATTAAGCCCCCATGGGTGGTGTATGCAAGGGAGGGTTTTATCTTTTGTATCTTGAATACAATACCCACTTGTTTTACTTGTTGCCGTGTTGTTGCCTTTCTCCGTCCCTCTCTGTTGGTGCAACCCCATGGTACGGTGAAACGAAGAGGAGTGAGGGGTGACACGCTGCCGGCCCTGATGCAGGGAGTGCACGGCGGCGCAGATGAGGGCGTGAGCGGGGCGAGCGATGCTGGGAGACCTGAGACCAGATGGTAGTAAACCATGTAATGGAGACGTGGGAAGGAGGGGTGACCTAGACTGTGTTTCTACATGAGAGATGGGTGGGTGAGCAACCAACACGAACTGGACGCAGCTACCTGACCTGACCTAGCAACCTAAGGTAAAGGTAGTGTGAAGAGACCCGACATGGGCTCTCGAGAAAACATGGCAAGAAGCGCCCCATTGGTAGCGTCGGTACAGACTGCAACCTGCTCGTGCGCAGGAAAGATGGTGGTGACGCCGAGGTCCTGAAGATGACCGACACTCACCAAGTTCCTGGAGAACGAGGGGAGGTGCGGACATGAGAGAGAACCTGAGGGGACTGCGTGACACGTAAGAGCAGTAGGGCTGCGTGCGACAACAGGTCCCGCGGAGGGATCAGCCAAGGCGACCGCGTCTGGAGACCAAAGTGGATCAATGATGATGCGGTCACGGAAAAAACAATGCGACGCACCGGAGTCAAGCGTGAAGGAGAGTGACGCATCAACGGTCGTCATACCTGGGCGAGCAACAGCACAAGATCCTACAAAAGAAACATCTACATATCCTAGCCTAGGCACACACTACTAATAAATTCTAGCAGCACTAGAGTCATCAGGAGACAAGACAGGGGCAAAATGCAAAGCAGCATGCACATCAGACATATCCACAATTAACATTCGGTGGCCCTGGCAAAGCAGTGAAGCCCAGTCCGGGGCAGGCGCGTCGACGCCAAAACGCTGAGTGAGCACGCCCGCAGACAAAGCCGCATCGTGGATCAGTTAAAGGCACGTACTGGCAGGGTTCGACAGGACCCCACTACTGCTAAGGGACCTGCTGTTGAGGCTGTTGCAGGCGCTGCTGCTGAACCTGCAGCTGGTGGTGCTGCACCCACTGATGCTGGTGCTGCTGGTGCTGCCACGTTGACATGGCAGTCTATCAGGGGCGACACAGGCGGCAGTCTAGCAGGGGCGGCACGGGCGCTGTCTGGCAGGGGCGAGACGTGCAGCAATGTAGGCGGCAGTATAGGCGGTAGTACAGACGGCGCTACGGGCGGCAGTACAGGCTGCAGTACGGGCGGCAGTACAGGCGACCGTACGGGCTATAGTATGGGCGGCAGTGGGTGGCAGTATGGGCGGCAGTACGGGCGGCAGTACAGGCGGCAGTACGGGCTGCAGTACGGGCGGTAGTGGGCTAAGGGCGGGAGCGGAGGGGGCTAAGGGCGGTAGCAGAGGGGGCTAAGGGCGGTAGCTAAGGCATGGGCGGGCAGCACTGGAACGGGCGGCAGCATTGGCACGGGAGGCTGCTGCTGGTGCGCTCGATGCTAGTGGCACAGGCTGTAGCAGCGGGAGGCAGGCAAGCGGTGGGCTGCTGCTACTATGTGTGCTGCTAGTGCACTGCTGGCAGCGGCGCGCTGCTGCTGCTGGCGCTACTAGCATGCAGCACGTTGCTGCTGTTGCTGGTGTGCCAGGGTTCAGAGCGTTGCTGCTGCTGGTGGAGCCGCTTGCGTGCTGCTGGTGGGAAGGGTGGCTTGGGCGGCTAACAGCGCTGCTGGCAACGCGCTACTGACGGAGTGGCGGTGCGCTGCTGCTGTTCATGCGTTGCTGGTGTGGTGGCGGCGCGTTGTAGCTGCTGTCGCACTACTGGCGGGCTGATGGCGGCCTAGGCGTCAAGGCGAGGTGAGCGACGGGGTGAGCGACGGGGTGTGCAACGGGGTGAGCGACACGATGTGCGGGGCACAATTCGAGTTGCCCACAGAAGGCCTTTTTAGGCCGCGGCGGGATGGACACGCGGAAGCCTTTCTGATGCGCATTTAGGGTGTACGAGCTGACGCGAGGGCCCGTGGGGTTCGTCCTAAGGGGCGACGGGAGGGCCCACAGGGGATGCCTTACGGGGCGTCCTAAGGGGCGACGGGAAGGGCCCGCGGGGGCCGTTCGAAGGGGAGGCGGGAAGGGCCCACGGAGGCCGTCTTACGGGGCGAAGCGAGGGATCCGCGGGGGGCTTCCTAGGTCGCGACGGGAGGGACCCGCGGGGGCCTTTTCTAAGGCGCACTTAGGGTGTACGGGCCAACGTGAGGGCCCGCGGGGGCCGTCCTAAGGGGTGACGGGAGGGCCCACGGGGGCTGTCCTAAGGGTCGTCCTAGGGGGCGACGGGAGGGCCCATGGGGGCCGTCCTACGGGGTGTCCCTTAGGGGCGACGAGAGGGCCCGCGGGGGGCGCCCTACGGGCGGTCCTAAGGAGCGTCAGGAGGGCCCGTGGGGGGCGCCCTACAAGGCG